TCTGCAGAGAGAATGGGTCTGCGGAGAGAATGGGTCTGCAGAGAGAATGGGTCTGCAGAGAGAATGGGTCTGCGGAGAGAATGGGTCTGTAGAGAGAATGGGTCTGCAGAGAGAATGGGTCTGCGGAGAGAATGGGTCTGCAGAGAGAATGGGTCTGTAGAGAGAATGGGTCTGCAGAGAGAATGGGTCTGCAGAGAGAATGGGTCTGTAGAGAGAATGGGTCTGCAGAGAGAATGGGTCTGCAGAGAGAACGGGTCTGCAGAGAGAATGGGTCTGTAGAGAGAATGGGTCTGCAGAGAGAATGGGTCTGCAGAGAGAATGGGTCTGCAGAGAGAATGGGTCTGCAGAGAGAATGGGTCTGCAGAGAGAATGGGTCTGCAGAGAGAATTTCGCCACGATCCCAACTGTCTGTTATCAGCCTGCAGCCAGGGAGGAGAGATCAGCAGAGCTGCCTGCACTGAGTGTGTGAGGAAGTCCGTGGATTGGTCAATTTGGACCAATCAGCGGGGGCTTAACGTAACGGCTCCGCGGACGTAACGTAACGGCTCCATGGATTGGTCCATTTCATTCCTGGTACGGTTGACATCATGCGTACCCGGAAGAATCAAATGGATGATGACGTTTCTCCAACGAGGCGTTTTGGGGAGGTATTTTCTGTGTTAGAGTTTTACTCGCTACATGGTGTACTTTGAGGGTTTTGACTCTGCACACCGTTTACATGCAGAAAAACCTTCATAACACAAGGGGACGGGTAATAACCGGAAAAGCATGACATGGGACCTTTAATGGATTTTTCAAATGAATTTTAGCCAATTTTCCAAATATTCTGCCACTTCCTGAAATGACCAACACAATCCCTTTCTTGCAATGTTTCCAAAAGTGAGTGATGATATGTGATCAAATGTTTATTTGGTAAACGCTCTGTGACGTCTAATGAGCTTTACATCCACTGTTTCAGTTTGAGTGTGTTTGTTCGGTTTGAATAACTGCAGCAAATAGAGAATAATCCCAATCCTCAGAATGAAATCTCCTTCACATTAAAGTCCCTGTATTCTGTAACTTTGAACAGCCATGGCTGCAGCTGGGTTTAATGTCTGTGGGTTTCTCTCTGCACACGGCCCTCCCTTTCATTTCACATCTTCAGAAGAACCCCTCCGAGACTTCAAATATCAGACTGTGGGCAATATCTGATTCCTCCCGATGTGACACTTCTCTCTGGTGTCAGGCAGCAGGAGCAGGATGGATGCATACGTGACACACACCTCCTGTTATCCACAAATAGCCCGACAGGTCGATGTAAACGCAGAGAGGCTGCTGCCATGTTTAGGATGGAGTCGATAAAGAAGGACGCAGCAGAAGAGTTATTTCAAATGACATTTAAAAGTAGTTTCTGGATGTTTGATCATGACGCTTACTTTGGATTATTGGCCTTTCAAAGGGTTGTTGTTTTACAAGGAGAAGAGAGAAGTGCTCAGATCTTGTTCTTGAGTACAAGTACTCAGATCTTGTTCTTGAGTACAAGTAGAAGTACTCAGATCTTGTTCTTGAGAGAAAGTAGAAGTACTCAGATCTTGTTCTTGAGAGAAAGTAGAAGTACTCAGATCTTGTTCTTGAGAGAAAATAGAAGTACTCAGATCTTCTTCTTGAGAGAAAGTAGAAGTACTCAGATCTTTACTTGAGTAAAAGTAGAAGTACTCAGGTCTTGTTCTTGAGAGAAAGTAGAAGTACTCAGATCTTCTTCTTGAGAGAAAGTAGAAGTACTCAGATCTTTACTTGAGTACAAGTAGAAGTACTCAGATCTTGTTCTTGAGAGAAAGTAGAAGTACTCAGATCTTCTTCTTGAGAGAAAGTAGAAGTACTCAGATCTTGTTCTTGAGAGAAAGTAGAAGTACTCAGATCTTTACTTGAGTAAAAGTAGAAGTACTCAGGTCTTGTACTTGAGAGAAAGTAGAAGTACTCAGATCTTGTTCTTGAGAGAAAGTAGAAGTACTCAGATCTTTACTTGAGTAAAAGTAGAAGTACTCACGTCTTGTACTTGAGTAAAAGTAGAAGTACTCAGATCTTGTACTTGAGTAAAAGTAGAAGTACTCAGGTCTTGTACTTTAGTAAAAGTAGAAGTACTCAGGTCTTGTACTTGAGTAAAAGTAGAAGTACTCAGATCTTGTACTTGAGTAAAAGTAGAATAACTCAGATCTTGTATTTGAGTAAAAGTAGAAGTACTCATGTCTTGTATTTGAGTAAAAGTAGAAGTACTCATATCTTGAGTAAAAGTAGAAGTACTCAGATCTTGTACTTGAGTAAAAGTAGAAGTACTCAGGTCTTGTACTTTAGTAAATGTAGAAGTACTCAGATCTTGTACTTGAGTAAAAGTAGAAGTACTCAGATCTTGTACTTGAGTAAAAGTAGAAGTACTCAGGTCTTGTACTTGAGTAAAAGTAGAAGTACTCAGATCTTGTACTTGAGTAAAAGTAGAAGTACTCAGATCTTGTACTTGAGTAAAAGTAGAAGTACTCAGGTCTTGTATTTGAGTATAAGTAGAAGTACTCATATCTTGAGTAAAAGTAGAAGTACTCAGGTACTCATGTATTGTACTTGAGTAAAAGTAGAAGTACTCATGTATTGTACTTGAGTAAAAGTAGAAGTACTCAGATCTTGTACTTGAGTAAAAGTAGAAGTACTCAGGTCTTATATTTGAGTAAAAGTAGAAGTACTCAGATCTTGACTAAAGGTAGAAGTACTCAGGTCTTGAGTAAAAGTAGAAGTACTCAGATCTTGTACTTGAGTAAAAGTAGAAGTACTCAGGTATTGTATTTGAGTAAAAGTAGAAGTACTCATATCTTGAGTAAAAGTAGAAGTACTCAGGTACTCAGATCTTGTACTTGAGTAAAAGTAGAAGTACTCGGGTCTTGTACTTGAGTAAAAGTAGAAGTACTCAGATCTTGAGTAAAAGTAGAAGTACTCATATCTTGAGTAAATGTAGAAGTACTGAGATCGTGTACTTGAGTAAAAGTAGAAGTACTCAGATCTTGTACTTGAGTAAAAGTAGAAGTACTCAGGTCTTGTATTTGAGTAAAAGTAGAAGTACTCATATCTTGAGTAAAAGTAGAAGTACTGAGATCGTGTACTTGAGTAAAAGTAGAAGTACTCAGATCTTGTACTTGAGTAAAAGTAGAAGTACTCAGATCTTGTACTTGAGTAAAAGTAGAAGTACTCAGGTCTTGTATTTGAGTAAAAGTAGAAGTACTCATATCTTGAGTAAAAGTAGAAGTACTCAGATCTTGTATTTGAGTAAAAGTAGAAGTACTCATATCTTGAGTAAAAGTACAAGTACTCATATCTTGAGTAAAAGTAGAAGTACTGAGATCGTGTACTTGAGTAAAAGTAGAAGTACTCAGATCTTGTACTTGAGTAAAAGTAGAAGTACTCAGGTCTTGTATTTGAGTAAAAGTAGAAGTACTCAGATATTGTACTTAAGTGAAAGTAGAAGTACCAGAGTGTAGGAATACTCTGTTACAGTAAAAGTCCTCATTCAAAATGTTCCTCAAGTGAAAGTAGAAAAGTATTCTCATCAAAATATAGTGAAAGTAGCGACAGTAAAAGTAGTCGTTGTGCAGATTGGTCCATTTCAGAATAATATATATGATATGTTTTATAATGATTGATCATGAAAGTGTTCTCAAAGCTGGTAAAGGTGCAGCTAGTCTGAAGGACTTTGTATACTGCAGGGTAGCTTTGATATGTTGGTAATGTGAAGGATTGTCTCCTGCAGCCTCCTCCATCACTGACAGCAGGCTCTCTAAGGTGAGTGTGTAAGTAGAAAGTACAGGTTCAACATGCTGGGTTTGATGATTTCCTAGCATATAGAAAACAAGTTCTGAAGCCTTAGAAAATATTTAAAATATATTTCTTTAGTGATTATGTTTCAGCAGAAAATACACCTTGAGGGTTAGACACTGTTTTCTTGAATGAGAACAATCTACATAATCCAAATCACAAACCCTATGAGGCACTGCTGGGATTTGAACCCAGGATCTCCTGTTTACGAGACAGGCGCTTTGACCACTAGGCGACAGTGCCCTTTCTGTCCTCACCCTTATTAAACTAAATCTGCATTTATTGCCATCAACTCAAAAGGAGGATAATACTAAATCATGGGTTCAAGTCCCAGCACTGCTTCAGCGGATTTGCAGGATGTCAAGCATTTCAAGTGATCTGAGGATAAATTCCTTATGAGACATTTTCCAAACACACCAATGTTGATCCTTAATGAGAAGAATGGAGATCCACATCATCCCCGATCAATGAAGGCATTGCTGGGATTTGAACCCAGGATCTCCTGTTTACGAGACAGGCGCTTTAACCACTAGGCGACAGTGCCCTTGAACTCCTGTCAGTTTTCTCTGATATCAAAGCTGCATTAATTCTGTGATGTGAAAAAGAAGATAACACAACATCATGGGTTCAAATCCCAGCAGTGCCTCAATGGATTTGGAGGATGTCAACAATTCAAGTGATCCTAGGATTTCAGGATGAATTCTTCATGAGACATTTCTCCAGAAAGAAGATACAGCATTGTTTTCTCATCTAAAAACAGAGCTACTTTCATATCCAGCCATTGAGGTTCATGCCTCGACTGGTTATTGGAGGATTCTTTTTTTGTAACTTCAAAATTGGCTTTATTTTTCAGACCTGAAGGTTGCTGCGTGGTTAATAGTTTCCTTTTGAATTGAGAAATAACACATCTCCAGACTGGCAGAAAGAGGCGCTGTGGCTTAGTTGGTCAAAGCGCCTGTCTTGTAAACAGGAGATCCTGGGTTCGAATCCCAGCAGCGCCTCATACTGGGAACAACCTGTACACTTTAATGAACCGGTGTGTTGGGTTTGATGATTTCCTAGCATACAGAAAACAACTTCTGAAGCCTTAGAAAACATTCAAAAAATAGTTCTTTAGTATTTATATTTCAGCAGAAAATACAGCTTGAGGGTTAGACACTGTTATGAGGCACTGCTGGGATTTGAACCCAGGATCTCCTGTTTACGAGACAGGCTCTTTAACCACTAGGCGACAGTGCCCGTAGTCCTCTTTTTCATTCACCTGTTAATAGTAAGATAAGATCATCTCACGCCTAGACTACTGCAACTCCCTCCTGGCTGGTCTACCTGCATGTGCCATCCGACCTCTGCAGCTCATCCAGAATGCAGCGGCTCGTCTGGTCTTCAACCTTCCTAAATTCTCCCACACCACTCCGCTCCTCCGCTCCCTTCACTGGCTTCCGGTAACTGCTAGAATCCACTTCAAGACAATGAAGTCGTACCATGCTGCGAATGGATCTGGCCCTTCCTACATCCAGGACATGGTTAAACCGTACACCCCAGCACGTGCACTCCGCTCTGCATCAACCAAACGGCTCGCTGCACCCGCACTGCGAGGGGGACCCAAGTTCCCATCAGCAAAAACACGTGGGTTTGCTATCCTGGCTCCAACATGGTGGAATGAGCTCCCCATTGACATCAGGACAGCAGATAGCTTACACACCTTCCGGGGGAGACTGAAAACTCATCTCTTTCGACTCTACTTCGAGCGATAGAATTACTAACAAAGCACTTATATACTAATAAAGGACTGGCTTATCTAAAGCCAGTTGAGTAGCACTTGAAATGTTTGGCTCTATGAAACCTGATGTACTTATATGATTCTGTTTTCTTCAAGGTTGTGTCTTCCTGGTCGAATGCACTTATTGTAAGTCGCTTTGGATAAAAGCGTCAGCTAAATGAAATGTAATGTAATGACACAACATCATGAGTTCAAATCCCAGGAGTGCCTCACTGGATTTGCAGGATGTCAAACATTTCAAGTGAACTGAGGAATAAAGGAGGTGCTGTGGCTAGGGCTTAAAGTGCTTGTCTTAAACAGGAGATCCTGGGTTCCCATCCCAGCAGGATCTCATACAGGGAACAATCTGTAACTTCAAACAACCAGTGTTTGGGTTTGATGTCATATTTCCTAGCATACAGAAATCAACTTCTGAGGCCTTGGAGAAATATATATATTTAAAACATTCCTTCAGTGGTAGTTTCAGTAGAAAATACACCTTAAAGTTTACACACTGTTTTTTTGAATGAGAACAATCTACATAATCCAAATCACAAACCCTATGAGGCACTGCTGGGATTTGAACCCAGGATCTCCTGTTTACGAGACAGGCGCTTTGACCACTAGGCGACAGTGCCCTTGAACTCCTGTCAGTTTTCTCTGATGTCAAAGTTGCATTAATTATCCCAGTTCAAATCTTAGCAGTGATTCAGCGGATTTATTCTTTATGAGATATTTTTCCAGAAATAAATATGTTATTGCTTTCTCGTCTTAAATCAAAGCTGCCTTCATATACAGCCATTTAGGTTTGTGCCTCCAGTGGTCATTATAGGAACTATGTTGTTCGTAACTTCTGAGTTGGCTTAAAGGTCCCATGTCATGGCCATTTCCACTGATCATATTTCCATTGTTGAGATCTACTAGAATAGATTTATACTGTGCAATTTTCCAAACTCACATTGGTTTCTCAAACAGCATCTCTGTAAAGTATGTGTATTCATTCTCTGTCCTAAACGGCTTGTTGGAGCTCCTGCCCCCCCCTCCCTGTGAGCCCACTGTGCTCTGATTGGTCGGAACGTTGAGAGGCTCGTTGCTGCGCTCCTCGCAGCAGATCGCAGCAACAAGCCTCTCGGTGATACAGCGAGAACAAGCGAAACTCATCCTGAGCACACAAACACTCACAGCCGAAGTAAAAACAATAAGTGTGGTTTGATATTGAGAAAGAAAAAGGTTTATGACGCTGTGAGAATGGGTCTGCGGAGAGCATTTCTCCGCCATCCCAACTTAGCAGCCCGAAAAACGTTTACCCATTTAAACAGTCGTGGTAGATACCTTGTTTGTTTTAAACATCATAAATACACAACAACAATGAATACTTACAGGTTGTGTACCCGAATCTCCCGCTGGTCCAAACAAAGTAGGAACAGCATCGTTCTTCAGTGCCCTACGCTGTGCATATCCGGCATGAATGGCTGAAAGGTTTGGGAAGCTTTGTTTCGTGAAAGGCTGGCAGAGGGTGTGGCCTCTGGGTATCCCCACGTCAGAGTACCCAGGAAGTAAATGAGGAATCTCCAACGAGGCGTTTTGGGGAGGTCTTTAGAGTTCTACTCGCTACAGGGTGCACTTTGAGGGGTTTTAACTCTGCAGACCGTTTACATGCAGAAAAACCTTCATAACACACAAGGGGACGGGTGATAACCGGAAAAGCATGACATGGGACCTTTACGTTTTCAGACCAGGAGGTTGCTGCATGGTTAATAGTTTACTGTTGAATTGAGAAAAAACCGATCTCCAGACTGGCCAGAAAGAGGCGCTGTGGCTTAGTTGGTGAAAGCACCTGTCTTGTAAACAGGAGATCCTGGGTTCGAATCCCAGCAGTGCCTCATACAGGGAGCAATCTGTATACTTTACTGCACCAGTATGTTACGTTTATTGTACAAAGAAGTGATGCAACAAAATGTGTATCATTCTACATATCATAGAAACAACTGTGGAAATCTTAAAAAAATTCCTTGAGGTTACGTTTTTCTTGAATAACAACAATCTCTATCAACAAATCAGACAAACTACATGAGGCACTGCTGGGATTTGAACCCAGGATCTCCTGTTTACGAGACAGGCGCTTTGACCACTAGGCGACAGTGCCCTTAGTCCACTTTTTCATTCACCTGTTAATAGTAAGATAGATAACACAACATAATGGGTTCAAATCCCAGGAGTGCCTCACTGCATTTGCAGGATGTCAAACATTTCAAGTGAACTGAGGAATAAAGGAGGTGCTGTGGCTAGGGCTTAAAGTGCTTGTCCTAAACAGGAGATCCTGGGTTCCCATCCCAGCAGGACCTCATACAGGGAACAATCTGTAACTTCAAACAACCAGTGTTTGGGTTTGATGTCAAATGTCCTAGCATAAAGAAATCAACTTCTGAGGCCTTGGAAAAACCTTTTTTTTTAAAAAAAAACATTCCTTCAGTGGTAGTTTCAGTAGAAAATACACCTTTAAGTTTACTCACTGTTTTTTTGAATGAGAACAATCTACATAATCCAAATCACACACCCTATGAGGCACTGCTGGGATTCGAACCCAGGATCTCCTGTTTACGAGACAGAAGGCTTTAACCACTAGGCGACAGTGCCACTTTGGTCGTCTCTAAGTAAACCTTCATTCATATAATTAATTGAAAGATGCAATGTTCCAAGAAAAAAAAGGATCTACTTTATCCTAGATACTTGCGCTTTAAAGTAATGAGTGTGGTTCCCCGTGTGAGGCACTGCTGGGATTTGAACGCAGGGTCTCCTGTTTACAAGACAGGCGCTTTGACCAACTAAGCCACAGCACCTTAATCTGGTTTTGGTTCTTATCTTAAAACTGATCTGCATTCATATCCAGCCAGTGCCTTTAAAATGGCAGCCAATTCAAATTAGGACCGGAGTCAAGTGGTTACAAGAGGAAATGACATGACATTACATTTAGCTGACGCTTTTATCCAAAGCGACTTACAATAAGTGCGTTCGACCAACAAGATACAAACTTGAAGAAAACAGAATCATAAAGTACATCAGGTTTCATAGAGCAAAAACATTTCAAGTGCTACTCAACTGGCTTTAGATAAGCCAGCCCTTTATTAGTATATAAGTGCTTTGTTAATAGTTATATCGCTCAAAGTGGAGTCGAAAGAGATGAGTTTTCAGTCTGCGCCGGAAGGTGTGTGAGCTATCTGCCGTCCTGATGTCAATGGGGAGCTCATTCCACCATCTTGGAGCCAGGATAGCAAATGCGCAAGTATCTAGGATAAATGCGACCATTACTTGTAAGATGGTTTCATTTATCAGAGATCAGGGTTGTAGCTTGGTTATAAATTGACAGTATTAATGGCCGTTAATAAGAGGCGCTGTGGCTTAGGGGTTAAAGCGCCTGTCTTGTAAACAGGAGATCCTGGGTTTAAATCCCAGCAGTGCCTGGAGCTCAAGAGCTATCTGTGAAATATGAGAACCAATTTAATACATCCTCTAAGTGTAAAAATGCTGTCTCACTTTGTGTAAAATTGACAGAAGACATCTTGTGGTTTAGCTGGTAAATTGACTGTCAAACAAGACATTTTCTTCTTTAACACATCTATGTCCTGTTCATATCACATCGTCCTCCCATCGAGCTTTAACACAGTGTTCCCACTTTTCATGTAACCAGAAAGAGAGTATTGGGCAGAACAACCTCCCTGTATGAACCCTCTGGGGACTACAGACGTAGGAGGGAGTGGAGGCAGTGGAATTTGAAGGAGAAAATGTGATAGAGCTGCCATTAATATTCTGATCAGGAAGTCATCTGCTCCGTCTGCAACGAACTGGCTGTGGTCTTTACGGTAAGTGAACATTAAAAGGTCATGCTTGGGGAAACTTCAGCTGACGAGATCAATCACGGTTAAATTGTTGGGTCAATCCTGTGAGAAACTCTTTGAATCAGCCTATCATAACAACATAGAAAAGGCTGGCCAACAACATCATATCAAAACCCAAACCATGTCCTGAACAGTGAATATGAATTGTTTCCATCAAAAAGGAGATACAGGGTCCCACGATTCAATCAAGTCAAACTAAAGCAGTCCTTTGTGCACCAGTCAATCTTCACAGTAAATACAGAGTCAAACCCCAGATTGAATACGTTAGAGCAGTGATTCTCAAATGGGGGTACGCGGACCCCTAGGGGTACGTTGGGGTACTGCAGGGGGTACGTGAGATTTAAAAAAACTAAAAAAAGTTCATTAAAAAAATACCATGCATGATTACAAAAATAATCTTAGTACAATAAGTTAAATAGAAAACACAATTTTATATAAAAATATTCCTAGAACCACCTCATATAAACATGTCAAATGTGTGTATTGCATAATATATCATTTTGTTCATTGGTTTGTTAAACTTCAATTGAAAAACTCTTTTTTCGTTATGTTATTATTTTTCATGCTTAAAATGAAAATACCCT